CTATCGAAATGGCACAGAAAGTTACTTAGAACCTTAAGCTATAATTCTCAAATGACAGAAAAACGTGTGCTCTATTGTGTTTATCCGTATCTATGATTTTATTTATTGAAAAAACTGATATTTATACCAAAATAAAATTACTGTTTTATCAGAAAATACTGCATACGTCCTTATCATAGCTGCCGCGATGAACTCTTTCAGTTTGACGTTTCTTGAAATGAACAGCACTTCGCTGTCGATTCATCCTTCCTCTCGATGCAAAATGAACATCTCGCGTCGTGCGAGTCGACATTCGGAATAGAGTGAGAATTGTCACGCGAGAAGGAAACGAGAATGGTCATCTCGATTCGCGCGAGAAGTGGAATAAACACAATGTGCTCGGTGTTATGTGTTGTTGGGTGTCGTCACAAATCGGTAGCTCAGCTCTACCAAGGCATGTGCTCCTGGTGACAATTATTTGCAGCGTCGAATTACGCGCGCATGCTTTAAGCGGAATCGACGAGTCACGAGTTTCGGCAAGTCGTCACGAAACTCGACTCAAATTACATCAGCCTTAGGACTACTCCGTGACGCCCTCACCGGACGCCACACTCCACAAAAAAGATAAAGGTTGGTTGACTCACCAGATGATGGCTTGAAGTACCTTACGTGGGTTGGGCTACAAAATGGTGAGTTGACAACCTGGAATGAGCGGAATACCTAGCCCTGGTCCTCACAAGTTCCTACTTCACGCCTCCTCGAGTCATATGATAACAAAAGACTACCAGCTGAAACATGGACACAGCTGGGTGGCGTAGCCTGGGCAATGTTGCCAGTCCGGCAATAGCAAAGTGAAGAGGTGCGACGCGAACACTGGCGTATGGTTACCACGTACGGTGATAGAGAAAATGCTTCACCAAACCCGAGCGTCTGTTCACCATGGAGGTGCGGCTCAAAACGGCGTCTGTTCTCCATGTTAGGAGCGGCTGATCACCGTCCTTAGCGTGACCAGCGTGGGACTCTAAACAGAGCTGTGCACGATGGTCCCCCGGCGAGACAAGGGGGTTGGTACAGGCCCAACAAGCCGTCCTTGAAAAAACATAAAGTTACAAATACTGAAGAATGAAGTACGGATCGGAACAATCGTCACAGACCTACGCGACGAAATATGGACTACGGTTGGACATTCGGAACATGGAACTGCAAATCGCTCGGCTTTCCGGGCTGCGATAGGTTAATCTATGACAAACTTCAACCACGCAACTTCGAAATCGTAGCACTGCAGGAACGTTGTTGGACGGGACAAAAGGTATGGAAAAGCGGGCATCGAGCGGCTACTTTCTACCAGAGCTGTGGCACCACCAACGAGCTGGGAACCGGCTTTGTAGTGCTGGGTAAGATGCGCCAACGCGTGATTGGTTGGCAGCCGATCAACGCGAGGATGTGCAAGTTGAGGGGCCGTTTCTTCAACTACAGTATCATCAACGTGCACTGCCCACACGAAGGGAGACCCGACGACGACAAAGAAGCGTTCTATGCCCAGCTGGAGCAGGTGTACAACGGTTGTTCGCAACGGGACGTCAAAATCGTCATCGGCGACATGAACGCTCAGGTAGGACGGGAGGCAATGTATAGACCGGCAATCGGGCCAAACAGCCTGCATGCCGTATCGAACGACAACGGCCAACGATGCGTGAACTTTGCAGCCTCCCGGGGTATGGTAGTTCGAAGTACCTTTTTCCCCCGCAAGGATATCCACAAAGCCACCTGGAGATCACCTGACCAACACACAGAAAACCAAATCGATCACGTTCTAATCGACGGGAAATTCTTCTCCGACATTATCAACGTCCGCACGTACCGCAGTGCGAACATAGATTCGGACCACTACCTAGTTGCAGTCGAGGGAAAGAGACAACGGTACTTCTATCGGCCAAGTTATGATATCCTTGCGGGGGAAAAGGCACTTCAGATTACCATACCCCGAGAGGCTGCAAAGTTCAAACTGGTCACTACCCCATGAAACATGATGAGGTGATTTCATGTGTCGTATGTGATGGGTTTGCAACATCCAGAACAGGCTTAACGATTTAGAAAGTATTGTATGTACCACTCAATTGGCGCTAGTTGTGTCCAATTCGGGGCAGCGGTTGCTGAGATACATGAGCATATTTATTTATTTACACACATGCACACACACGTACATTTTCCGATATCGTCGAGCTGAGTCGATTGGCCCTCGGTTTTTCAAGCGGTATGTATATACTCTTCTTTGTAAGAAAATGATAGAAAAGAACCTGCAGAACAGAAGCGTTCGTTGAAATGTCCATCAGATAATCCTGATGTTCCCTGCCTGGTCCTTCCATTGTGATCCTTTCGCAGTTGTGACGACGGTGCCGGCAGCAACAGCAGCAGCGGTAGCGCGATAGAACTGAACTCCGCTAGTATCAACAGCAGTTGATTATTTCTCACTAGCAATGACCACTTTGATGGAACTGCCCTCGTTTCAGAGAAAATCAGTTTTGCAGAAAAATCCCAGCACCGAAAAAAAAAAAACAAAACTTCGAGTGGGACAGCTGTCAAACTGGTTTGAAACTTTGATTGCCTTGATCCAAATTCAGTTCAAAATAGATCGAGAACTATACTGGTTTAAAAAAATACATTTCAAAACCAGCCTAACCACCGGTGCAAGGGCTCGGTCTGGATCTGTTCCAAAAATTTAGACCAATCCAGCCAATTGGACCGCCGCTAAAGATGCCTTAAATAAGCCATAAGAACAGAGCTGCGACCTATCACAATCACGATTGTCAAACAACTGATGGTAGTAACGATATTGGTGCATTCCTATCAATGTGTTTGTCGAAGCACCACTCTCCATGACCATCCATCAAGTTGATCAAGTTGAAGTGAAAAGCAACTGGTGAATGTCGTCTTCGGTGGTGATCGATCACCGATCTGGTCATTCCCGACAATCACGACACTCATCTGTGCTCGTTTTGAAGCAAGCAGTTGCTGCTTTGCTTGCTTATGTGAGTGAGCCCAACAGCTTCCGTTTAATTTTGTCAGCTTTATTTGTAATTCATACAGTCGCGCCTCCCGAGACGGACTTGAAATGCGTAGGCATTGTTTTCATTTTCTTCTGCCGTCTCGCTTTTTCTCATCATCGTACTGCAGAAGTCTTCACTGTTTTCGTTGTGCTTTACATCATCAGCAGCGTGTGTTACGTATTGCCTGTGAGCAGCGACCACTACTGGTGATTGTTGTTGGTCATGGCTCTACCTCTCACTGCGTGACAAAACGTTCTAACAGCGATAATCGGTTCATGCGTTGACGAGTGTCGAGTGAGTGTCATGATATTTTGCATCACTGCATAAAAAACCTCCATGGTTTGTTTACGCTTGGAACCAATTTCATACAAGAACGATCAGTGGTCCCGGTCCATGTGTGTTGAATGGGTGCGATATCCTATGCAGGTGTGGAAGCTGCCTTCCTGCACATTCGAATGCCATCAATGGTCTACAATGGATGGCAATCGATGTCCGTTGGTGATTGGCTCTAGATTGCGGAACAGAGGCCGAATTCCTCAATTTATTCCTTGGACATCTACAAAGTTTCCTTATACAGTCAGTCAGCTCGATATCGAGTTATAGAACCATAGTAAAAATTGATTTCATGGCTTTGTTATTCTATAACTCGATGGTCCCTGCAATATCGCATTGTAGGGAGTTCCTTGGACCGACATTAAAAAAAGGAAAAGACAAAGATACAAGAAGGGTGGAGGGGGGGTTCTAAGATTTTATGACAAGCAATGCATTAGGTATAGGAACATCACGATAGGGGGAAGGGGGGTAAATTTCTCCTCGATTTAGCGTGACATAATTAATGCATGGGCCCTTAGGAGCCAGTTAATTCCGGTAGAGATATTTGGATGCTACCAACGAAAGATCCGAAGGATTTTAGTGTAGTTTTTTGACGTTGATGAAGGCGGTTCCGTTCCATTTCCGTGGAGATATTTGATGCTGCAAGCAAAAGTTCCAGTCGATTTAAGCGGAATTTTCTAACATTGTCGAACCTCCTCCTGTCAATTTCGGTGGAGATTTTTGATTCTGCCAACGAAAGTTCTGGTGGAATTAATTTTCTGAATTCTAAACGGAATTCTCCGTAGTCATTGGAACTTTCAGCACATTATCGGAAATCTTCTAGAACCTGCTCCGTCCGCAACGCCAGCAAACTCCTTTAAATTGTCTGTAACTCGGTCTGGAACGTTTGAAGTCTTCGTTATAAGCATTCTATATTAAAAAGTAATGAAAAGGTCATGAGTAACATCCCTGCTTGTCGAGCTTATCCCGAGGTCTTGTTGGATTAGGTAGTTCAGTGGGATACACTTAATAAAATGTGTATGGTTATTTTGCTTAAAGATGTGTTCAGGGTATCATCCAAACCATGTGTTGAATAGTTCTATCATTTGGGTTATCGTTCGGGTATGTTATTTGTTTTTATTAGTCTTGATACCACAGAAACAAACATCGAGTTAAATGTACCAGTCTGTACGGCATCTGGATGATGAGATTTGTACTCATGAAAACGCTATAAGTGGTCCTGTCTAGGATTTCCCATGTCCAAAAAGCCTCTAGACTAAAGATTTAATTAAATTACCATGCATAGTTCCCACTTTCGAGCGAAGGTAGTCGGATTCGAATCCCATTCCCACCTGGAAATATACCTCGACTTCCTATAGGGCTTGCCACACAATATACGAAGAATGCAAAAATGTTACAGGTTTAGAAAATCCCTAATTAGGGGTCTACCAAGTGTTCCAAGTTAACAACAGGCGTTAAGTTCTTGTTTGAACTAAAAACTATGCACCAATCTTTTTCATTTGGATCTTCTGAAGTAATTCACAACGATTGCAAAGATTGTACACTTCTAAGTTTTTTTTATTTCAATAATATTTTCGATCCACAACAGGTTAAGCCTTCATGAAAAAAAAATCTAACTCCATCAGAAGCGAAAAACCTTACCTTCTCTCCAACCATACTTGTGCAGTATGTTTTTGGCAAAATCCATGTCCGTTGGCACCGGAACGGTGTTTCTATTGCTCTTTTCACTTTTCTATTTATTGAACACTACAGAAAAATGTCGAAAACTTACGATAAAACAAGGAAATTCTGAGGAACGCGTGGTTTCTGGCAGTCGACGGGCATTGTTTTGATTTCGAACGCTGCTGATGTTTTGCCATGATCTGTCAGAATTTATGCTGCCCTCTGATTGATTGACAACAATGTCAAGTGTAGCATACCGTCTCACATCTCCGATTATGCAAGGCCGCCGTCGCCTCACCGCTACAGATTGTTTTGATTTTGCTCTTGCTGGTTCGAAATTACATACCGCGAATTTTCGTGGAAATTACTGAAAATTCCAAGGTAAGTAACCCATCCGAAGCTGCCCGTGTACTGCGGACCCCGGAATGACGCTATTTCCTCAGCCACGATGGCTTCGGCGGTGGATCCGACGCCGGATGAATCCTCTACCGGTGGACAAGGCTGCCATCTGGAAGGGACGACTCAGTATCGTGTACAGCATCGTGGCCTGGAACGCGCTCGGCTGGGTCGGTTACATGATCTACACCGGCCGGAATGATTGGGCCAAGTTCTACGGCTACAAGACGGAAGAGGAAGCATCCATGCCGCAAGGTCTGATGCTGTTTCTAATATTCCATGATGATCCAAAATCAACCTACCGTTACTTCTTTCCGTAGCAATAAGATTCGCGAAGCAGCTGAGCATGCCAAATGCTCACGTGATGAAGTTTTCCGGCCTCTCCAAAACGGACGAGTACGACCTGAAGGACAATGAAGTCGTCCGACCGGATGGTAGTCAACCGAAGGATGTTTCGAAGTGAATAATGCAACTATTCCCGACTGCAGATTTTTCCTTTTGTAGATATAAATTTTAATGCTATCTAATAGGTTTACTTTGATGATAAAATAAAGAAACAAAGCTATAATTTTGTCTATGTGGCGAATCAGTCAATTGCTGATGTTAAATGGAAGGCACTGTTTTGCTGTCTAATGCATCGATTACATTTTCTATGATATGAATTTGATGAAGCATTGCTCTCTTAACAATCAAGAAACAAAAGCGAATGATGATGATAGTGCGGGATCGCCATTTAAATGTGTATGGAGTTATTATCGAAGGAACTGTCTGTATATCACAATTTTCCGATCGTGAAAAATGTTACTTTTCCTTTCATAGCTCAACGGTGAAGTATCTCCTAAAATAGGTAAATATAAACTACTAAATAAGCACGGTAGTGTTTCTAATAGAACGAGTAATAAACAGAGTAATCTCATCAACGCGTGTACCCTTCCCCGTTTTTGCATGTGTACGGGACTTGAGAATTTTAGTAAACTATGTACTTTTTATCAGCGAAATGAAGAAGATTGCTTAAACACAAAGTCGACCGTCTCGTGAAGCGTATGTTGGTGCGGGTCGCGGGATATTCCCCCCTATTCTGCGAGTCACGCGACTCTCTCTCTCTCATCGGTGAGGTGACAATTGTCACATCGTGTGAGTATAGTCACTATATTCATAATCTGGCGGATAGAATCTCGGGAACCAATTGAGCTGTCAAATAGCGGAACCAATTGAGCAAATCACGACCAACAACAGAAAAGAGTTACGACTAACATCATCTTTGGGTTGAGGAAAGTTTCCCCTATCCGATAATGCCGCGTTCTATTGGCGACGAAAGATTAATCAACGTTTTGTTTATAAAAGTTGATAGTACCTTTTCGATTGTTGGTCTAAAATATATTGAATTGGTTCCGATTTTTGATAGATCGAAATTCTATCCGCCAGACTATGAATATAGCGACTACACGTGTAAGGTGACTCTCCATTTGATTTACACAGAGAGTCACCATACATAAGGTGACAGAGAGTCACGTGACTCGCAGAATAAGGAGGACTGTTGATTTTCCGGCCGGCGAACGATGGTGGAAAAAGTGGAACCACTTTTAAGCGTTTGAATCGTTGTTGGTGAGATAGGCTAAGCGCTTCTTCTCCTCCATCATCGAGCGGATCGCTATCCTGGAAGGGAAATTGTGAAAATATTATTTAACTGAAAATCATGGTGGAAGTTCATCGCCTTCCGTAGCATTTAGGTCGTTTTTTTTTTGTTCAGGGTGAATCGATCACCAAAATTTGGGTAGTTTATTCTTAGCGTGTACCTAATGTTCAGCGTTTCCAGAAAAAAAGGTCATGGCGAATGAGAACGACTCAAATTTGAGTTTAGTTCACTCATAATCGCCAAAAGTGCAGGAACTCAGCGATGAGTAAAATTTGTCTCATGGTTTCCTGTGGAAAACCTAAAAAATCTGCCGGAAAATGAGGAAATTGACGAAATGTTTATTCAGTCTCGGAGTAGTAGTACCAATAGCTGAGTGAATCCAATCTTTACTTTTCTCAAATTCGGGAATTTTTCCCTGGAAAATCCTGGAAAATGCTGGGAAAACATGAGGCAAATTAACGGCGATTATGAGTGAACTAAACTCAAATTTGAGTCGTTCTCATTCGCCGTGTAAATAAAAATAAATAAGAGAATTTCGTATGTATTCTTGTTGTTGTTGTTCCGTTGAACCAACAATCAATACGAAACTAACGATTTTAAATTGTCTCACCACTTTAGTAGCCTATTGGTCCCAAGCAAACGATTAACGTACCCTATTCTAGTTGGAATTCTATTATGGTGGTAAGCTCCAACCGGTATTATCCTCGGATTAAATCCCGATCAAGGATGTCCGGCTGGTTTGATGTCGACATCAGAGTTAATCAATATAACTCTGAGCAAACATTTTTCAGATCATACAAACAGGGACGGTATTAAAAGTTAATCCGAGTTGGAGCTTACCGCCATTAAAGGGTGATACGGTCAAAATTTGGTCAAGGGAAAACGCGTGTAAATCGGTGAAATCGTTTATTTAAAAAATCAAATTAAATTTCTTTTTCAAGTTCAATTAGTATAAAATTCAGGAAAAATATTCAGTTAGGCTTCCGCTTTTCCAAATCCGAATTGCCGGGCCTTACGCTTGACCCCTGCCATCAGAAAGCCAGTTTGCCTTGAACTGCTGCTCGCCCTTAGCAGTTTTTTTGGTCTTCTTTAGGTTCCGCTTGACAATAGCCCAGTATTTCTCAATTGGGCGGAGCTCTGGCGTGTTGGGATGGTTCTTGTCCTTGGGAACCACCTGCACGTTGTTGGCGGCGTACCACTCCATGGCCTTTTTACCGTAATGGCAAGATGCCAAATCCGGCCAAAACAGTACGGAACAACCGTGTTTCTTCAGGAAAGGCAGCAGACGTTTATTCAAACACTCTTTCACGTAAATTTCTTGGTTGACAGTCCCGGAAGCTATGAAAATGCTGCTCTTCAAGCCACAGGTACAGATGGCTTGCCAAACCAGATATTTCTTTGCGAACTTTGACAGTTTCATGTGCTTGAAAACATCTGCTACCTTTCCCCTTCCTTTTGCCGTATAAAACTCCTGTCCCGGAAGCTGCTTGTAGTCGGCTTTGACGTAGGTTTCGTCGTCCATTACCACGCAGTCAAACTTCGTCAGCATCGTCGTGTACAGCCTCCGGGATCGCGCTTTGGCCGTCGTATTTTGTTTATCATCGCGATTTGAAGTCACTACCTTCTTGTAAGTCGACAGTCCGGCTCGTTTTTTGGCTCGATGCACGGTTGTAGACGATACACCCAGCTTATTTGCGGCATCTCGGAGAGAGAGGTTAGGGTTTCGCTTGAAACTACCGGCAACTCTCTTTGTCGTCTCAGCGGCTTCCGGTTTTCGATTTTCCCCCGATCCAGACTTCCTGGCTGTCGACAAACGTTCCCCAAACACTTTAATTACATTTGTAACGGTTGATTTAGCAACTTTTAGCGATTTTGCCAACTTTGCGTGCGAGTAGCTCGGATTTTCGCGATGCGCGAGCAAAATTTTGATACGCTGCTCTTCTTGCTTGGACGGCATTTTGACAACTGAAGAGTGAATTCCAAAATCAAAATAGGAGCAACATTCTACACACACACACCTTCAAAATGAGGGGTGTTCAGGTTTTTTAAATGCAAAATTGAAAGAAATACGTCAAGTTGATATTGACCAAATTTTGACCGTATCACCCTTCACTACACTATGTTTGTTTTGATTCGCTATGAAAGTTTGACAGATAACATCAGGGGTGTGTGGATTCATGCAGAACATGCAGGGGTGAGTGAAATAGCTTGGGACTTCTTGGGACCGTTATTCTTGTACTGTCTGAGCCAAAAATAATAATGATTTTCTTCGGGACCCAGTGGTCTTAGAGTTACCTCTATGGTTGAACTCTGGGGGGGGGGGACGTGCTGTCAAATCAGCCTACTGATCATTCTTGTATGAAACTGGTTCCAAACGTAAACAAACGCTGTAAGTTTCTTATGGCTTGTTTACGTTTGGAGCCAGTTATGCGAGGCATGCGAGGTAGGCGACGATTGTTCGTATTTGACAGCCACCTCCCCCCTTGGTTGAACTACAGTGAATCGATAGATGCCTATATTTTTGATGCTTTCAACAATCCATCTTCATTAAGACTGCAATGACTGTCATCTGCAAACAACTCGAGTGAAGCCAAGTTTCTCTGGTGCTAATTTGTCAGTTCCTATATCATTAAGCTTGGCACATAGATATAATTTTTTAGGTAACGTTATACACGGTAAGAAAAAAGTACCCAACGGAAAGTTCACTTTTACCTACTTTTGACTAGTTTGTCTCCTTTTCTCCTTCTAATGTTGTCAAAAACGGAGGAGCAAAACCACCCAACAAGGGTAGTAAAGTGTGGGAACCCAACGTTGAGTATAATCATATTTACCTACTGTTGGGTACAACTAACTTACTTTTGGTTAAAAAGCCAGTGGAAAATTCCATACGAATTGCACACAAGTAAATGAAATTTACTTTGACCCGCTTTACCTACTTTTGGGTTCCTGCACTATAGTGCCGAGATGAGTGAATAGAACTTAATTTTGGGTACTTTTTTCTAACCGTGTAGGAAAGCATGATTCACGCAAATTGTGCTCGTCAATTCGAAAACAACCCAAACTGGCGCGTTTTTTACGCCGCGGCAGCGGTAGCTAAATTCGCGTGGGTACCCACATCGGAGCGGCAGTTTTTTCGTACCGTCGTAGCGATCGTGAGCAATGGATTCGTCGTCGGATGAAGAAGAGGCGCTTTTGTGAGTTTCATTACAAGCAGTGAAAAATGCGTTGAAGTATTTTGGCAATTTGCTTCATTTTAGTGATATTTGTTTACAGTTTTGTTAGATATTACAGATTTCTCACCACTGGTGATCACGGTAGTTCATGAAATTTTAAAGAAAGTTTGTCTATCTTTAGAAAAAATGACAAAACTTAATTTCCCCTGGAATGCATATCATCAGAAAAAATTGCAGATATTCGGGAAATTTCATAAACAGAACACCAGGGAAAATCGCATAACTTCAGAGAAATTTGAAAAACTTCAGGACAATTCGTAGATCATCAAAAACATGGTAGAATTTCAAAGAGGTTCACAGAACTTAAGAAATGTTGATAGATCATCAGAGAAATTTGCAAAACATAAGGGAAGATCACAGAACTCGAGACAGAACTTCAGTTTTTCAGAAGATTGAAAAACATATCTCCCGAAGAGTTTGTGAAAGTTCAAGGAAGTTCATAGAATATCAAGGAATTCCATAGAACTTCAGGGAAATGTGAAGAACTTTATACCTGTGCCGTGCTGAGCTGTTAAATATTTCCGGAAGAATGATCATACACAGCAAAAAAAGTTGTTGAATATTACATCGAAACTGCTGCAACCAGGTCAATCCCTCGGTTGTGTAATATCACATTGTACGATGTACATCGATTTTGCGAACAAAATTACATCCATTGATGTAAAATTGTATCTGCTTTTTGCTATTACATCATTATTTCATACATCAGCTTGAATTACGTTGATCGATATTACATTTTTTTTTGCTGTGTACTGGAGTCTTGGGTGTTTGAGATAATTTCTGAGCATGCTGGTATCTTTTTAGAATTTTGAACTCTCGGACAGTCTATTGAGTTCGCTCTTAGTATTCTCCCGGTATTTCAGATGAATTATCTCAGGAATTTTTAGTTAGCTCGGCTAAATGCTTCTCCGGAACTCACATTTGAATTAATTTATCATACTTCTAAAAGATTCAATCGAATTATTCTCAAAACTGAGAACTAGAAATAGAATCGCTTTGGATTTTCTCCTTTCCTTGGAATTCAACATACAGTTTCTAAATTCTCCTTATAAATAAATGTAGTTCTACTGACATATTCCTTAGATTTAGCATAGCATATGCAATTGTACAAATTGTGGGTGATCAACTATCCTCACAAATACATTAGAGTTCTCCTCCGGAAGCTTATATGAATAGCAGTTTACCGATCTTTGTACAAGTTGAGCGAATTCCAAGTAGAACAAGGATTTTTGTAGAAGTTGTTGGAACTACATAGAAGCTCTGCTAGAATTTGGAGAATTTCGGAGGAATTCAGCGAGTTTTGTAGATGGGATTATCGTAGAAATTCCAATGATAGTTTGAGAACTTGATCAAATTTCAGGGAGCAGTAAATTAAATTTAGACAAGTTCAGACATGTTTGAAAAAAAAAAATAGTTTCGAACCAATTCAATTAAGGTTTCCGTTTTTGCCATTTTTTATCACCTGAAAATCACTTTTGCCAATTTTTCGTGTACTTAAAACTGGAAGGTTGAAATTGGTGGCCGTACTGTAAGTAAGAACAAGTTAATGAGAACTGAAAACCAAGCAACCCGCGATTTTGTTATGGGCCCAGGACCTAAGAGCAACCGCACTATAGTCGTTGCCATTTGCGGCACTATTTTACTTACGCACAGCGTTTCCATTTTGGCTTAATCACTCCTCTCCATACCGGTCGTTGCTATCAGAGTCATAATTTAAGTTACCGTTTTCCACACCGGCAAAACAAACTTTTGACGTTATTCAAAATAGCAACCGTCTGATACGTTGC